AAACTCTGAATCTGTTCGATATATCATAAACTAAAAGTGTCAACGGGAGAGAGGAAGACGTTTCTTTACGTAAATAGACTAATAACTATGGATTTCTTTATAGTCAAATCATCAACTTTTGCCAAAAAAAAGTTCCCCAAAGCGAATTATTATTTACTTTTAAAGTTATAGCCATATGCTTATTAATTTACGTACGCAACCTATTAGCATTAGCTCTATTATAGTGGCCACAATTTACATGTTTATCACCTAGATGTGTGTAAACGTATGATCCAAATATTTGTCTTTTTTTGTTAAAAATAAATATAAAAAAAAAATTGTCCCTTTAAATCCATAGCATTGGAATTTGGAGTTATATTCAACTTGTGATGAACTACTGTGCTCTGTGCAGCTGTTATTTTATGGGAAATGATATATGTTAATACGTCCACAAATGGATTTTTATTTTTACAAAATTAATATAGAACTCTTAAGTACATTATCGTAAAAAAAGATGGTTTTTTCTTTCAATCAAATCTTCTTTTTTTTTTTGCTAAACTTCTTTTTTTTTAATAAAATGTGAATCATATACCAAAATGAATAATTATTTTACAAAAGTTTGGCGAAGCTAAACAGTTTCAAGAGGGAAAAAAAAGTAAAAAAGTCTAATCGAAACAAATAGAGGAATAACAAATTTCAAAATATGGTAATCAACTATTCAAACAAGAACCACATAGAGAGAGATTCCTGAAAGACTTACAATGTTTGCGAGCAAGAATGATGTATTTGATGCATCTGTCAATTTGCTTGAAGACTTCCAAATCAGAGATAGCGGAGCCATTGTGAAGCCGATTGTTTTTTTCTTTCCAAAGAAAGAAGATCGTTGTTTGGATCGTTAGCCGTTACAAAGTAGCTAAACTTCTTTCAATCAAATTTACTGAAACTTGCAATTTCTCACGATAAGATAATTATATTTTAAATTGTTTAAAATTATAAAATAAAATGTACGTAGAAATGAACTGATGAGTGTCGCTTATGCCAGGTTTTATATGAAAAAAAAAAACTAGCTTTAATACCTATAATCTTTTTAAAAAATGTCAAGCTTTGTTTTTCTTCGAATCGTCGTCAAAAGTGTTAGCAGTCTAGTCTGTCTTTAAAGCATATTGTGCAACAATTATTTTTGGTAGTCACTCGCAAGACTCAAAACAAAACTGAGATGTATCATCAACGACTCAATGTATCCTCGAAAAAGTCCGTCCTCATCTAGTTGTAGCCTTGTAGAGTTGTAGGTATAAAAAGACCATTGTTCTCTTTTTGTGGTTTGTATATCGTTTCTCTTATGTTTTATGACACTTTCCATCTAAATATAAATAAGATACACAAAACTATAATTATTTTGTTGAAATGATAATCAAAAAGTATTTCATTAAAAAGAAATTTTCCCCATTTTTTTAATATCTTCGAACTGCATGTAGTTTACAGACATATTCCATACCCTATATATGTTTATTTAATAAAAAGACACAAATTAAAGTGTACAATAGTGATTTTTATTACTCAATTACGGATCACACAAAAACATCATATCTATTTCAGTAGTTCACTACCTTATCATACATGAAGACACACAGACACAAACATTCTCCATAAAACGTACGTACG